TGTCATTTCCTCCTGCATTACAGACTACATCAAAAGAGAAGTTTCTCCAGGTGTGCAGGGCCCCGTTGTGAGACGTCTTAAGAGACGATACTGTAAATGAGATGTATATTTTTAATGGATAGGGCCCACTACATTAATCACGGTACAGCTGTCATGAATAAGTGGTTCATTTAGTATTTTCTTACTCTGACAAAACATGTCATGCAAATCGACCTTAGGCCATAAAATGACCTTTTTCTTGTTTAAATGTTGTATTTGATAATGCAATAATGGTTCTGGCTCGTTGAACAGGCACCAGACTGTCTCTTCTTCCTGTTTAATTGTTATTTGAATTCATTTAAGTGAAATTTTCTGTTTTTCAAAATACCCTATTTGATAATAGACTTGATGCAAAACCTCGTATTTTTTATCCAGGCCTAACAGTTTGGAATTCAGATACAAATTTCATTGCAAATAATGATGCAAAGTTATGGTTGAAAACTCAATGTGTTAAGTTTGCACACATATAAATGAAAAACTTTTTTCGATTACCAGTATCTCAAAATTTTATAAAAGTCAGATACGAGGTTTTGACAGGACTGCGACCATACATTACTTGAATGAGATGAAGTGAAACACTTTTCAGCCGACCTTCAAATATAACCGACTGCAGTCACCTCAGTCGATTCTTATGCTGTTTGTGACTACGTGGCTTCTGGCTAGTGATATTTATATTTAGGAACGAAACATTTCTTGACACGTGAACTTATCAAATTTTGTACATATTTATAATTAAGAAGTAGTCATTATATCCGGAATGGCTTGTTTTCAATTTATGGGTGAAACGCGAAAGATCTATGTTTTCGTGTGAATACTTTACAAAATTGGTCTTTAACATATGTTTGAACCTACATTTGAAGTAACAATATTTTTAAAGTTGATGTGATGCTGATATTGAAGGCTCTGTCCAGGAGGTTAATGTAATGTAGGATCAGTAGTGGTCGCATCAGCAGCAATTGGTCTGACACATTGTACACATATCGATAATCATAACAGATCCTCGTTGTCAAAAGCAAACCCGTACCTTCGTAATGTCTATATATAAAATTACATTACAGCTAAAAAAAGCGTCGGAGCCGAGTGTAGATTGTGGTTCTCCAACTCCTGCAGAAGGCACATATGTTGTCTACAGCTCAACAGGTCTTCATGCCAGTGCCAACTACAGATGCAAGAAGAGTGTTCTTGACATCCACCCTGGTCAACAGATGTTAAGCTTGTGTCAGAAAGATGGGCACTGGAGCATGGTCAACGTGATGTGCGTCAACAGTAAGGATGCAACCTAGTTTAATGTCAAAATGAAAACTTCTTAAACTTCTGTTGAAAATAAGAACGGTCTACCTGCGTGCTGTATCGAATTCACCTGCTTAGCCTTGTCCGACTAATAATATATATAATATTAACATTTGTGATAATGATGACTACTACTACTACTACTACTGACCCGTGAAGGTCCGGGTTAGAATATTGGCCTTCAGTAACCCATGCTTGTCGTAAGAGGCGACTAACGGGATCAGATGGTCAGACTCGCTGACTTGGTTGACTCATGTCATCGGTTCCCAATTACGCAGATCGATGCTCATGCTCTTGATCACTGGATTGTCTGGTCCAGACTCGATTATTTACAGACCGCCGCCATATAGCTGGAATATTGCTGAGTGCGGCGTAAAACTAAACTCAACTACTACTACTACTACGACTACCACCGCCCACCACTATCACTACCACCACTACTGACTGACTGAGTTTAGTTTTACGCCGCTTTTAGCAATATTCCAGCAATATCACGGCGGGGGACACCAGAAATGGGCTTAACACATTGTGCCCATGTGGGGAATCGAACCCGGGCCTTCGGCGTGACGAGCCAACGCTTTAACCACTAGGCTACCCCACCGCCCCCACCACTACTAGTACTACTACTGCTACTTCTACTACTACTACTACTACTACTACTAAAACTACTACTACTACTACTACCACCACCCACCACTACCACTACCACCACTACTAGTACTACTACTGCTACTTCTACTACTACTACTACTACTACTACTAAAACTACTACTACTACTACTACTACGACTACCACCACCCACCACTACTAGTACTACTACTACTACTATATCTACAACTACTACTACTACTACTACCACTACAACAACTACTGCTGGGGCTACTACTGCTGCTGCTGCTGCTACCACTCCTACTACTGTTGCTACTGTTACTGTTACTAAAACGAATATTACTACAGCTGCTACTACTACCATGATTACTACTACTGCTAATGCTACTACTACCATGACTACTACTAATCCTAATAATATTTTGTTTATTGTTTTCTCACCGAGTGCCTTCATGCACATATTTCGAAACTAGAAACGTATCATACTACAACTATTTCTACTATACCCGTGAAGATCTAGGTTAGAATTGGTCTTTAGTAACCCATGCTTTTCGTATCTGGCTGCTGTAAGAGCGTTGTAGACCGGAACTATATCAACAACCACAACTGGCAGAAGGTGTAGCTTTTGAGTTCTATATCGATAGTGTTAGTCTAAAACAGCTTCTTAAGTAGATTTCGTTGCTCAAACCACAATTTGATGATACGGTAGACATTTAGGTCTTCAAAGGGAGGATCGCCTGTGCCCGCTTTGTATCATACCTAACATAGAACATGAATATCACTTTTGCCTGGAATGCCCTTTTTATGGGAAATTAAGAAATGATATCCTCCCTAAATTTTATCACATATATCCATCTGAAGTGAAATTAGCTTAGTTGTTTACATCAAAGAATACTTATATTATAAATTGTCTTGCAAAATATCTATTTTTTGCCATGAAAAAACGAAATAAATTTCTTTCAGTCTTCGTACCCACAAATGTATAATTGTGCAGCTCTCATGATGTTGTACGGTGCTCTAATGATTGTATATTCTGTACACCTGTTGTATAATGGGCCTGTGGCCCCTTTACTGAATAAAACTCTCTCTCTCTCTCACTGGCAGGGTCTGTCAGCGATGGGATGCTCAGACGCCACACGGTCACGGCAATAGGGAAGACACGATGTTCTCCATCCCTGGATTTAACACACTCCAAACTGTCACAGGATCTGCCAACTACTGCCGTGACCCAGATGGTACAGGGTTTTTATGGTGTTACACAACGGACTGGAATTCACGCTGAGAAGAGTGTGATGTCCAAAGTGTAACCCGCAGTTTTGAGCGGATTACAAGTAGTGTTGTGGGTTGGGAGCAATTCGTGATTTTGCAACATTAAAATCGGTCAGTGTGAAACAAATTGTAGTTATTTTGTTCTTTTGAATTGGTTGTTTTTTGTATCGGTTCCATTAATTGAGCCAAAGGTGGTGAGTGTCGACCTGATTGTAGGTTCACGCATCTGACAGCACTACTCAATTTAAAATACTGTGGCTTGAAAAACATCACATTTTGGTAACATCTCACCAGACTGCCTCCGTGGTGTAGTGGTTAGAGCGTCCGCCCGGAGAGCGGAAGGTCGCGGGTTCGATCCCCGACCGCGTCATACCAAAAGACGTTAAAATGTGGTACTTGTTGGTCCCTGCCTTGCCTGGCGCTCGGCATTAATGGGTATAAGAAGGACAGGTCGGCTCGTAGTCAGTATAATTTGTCTGAGTGGGGTATTCATGCTTCACTGCGGCATGGTATCTCAGTGAGCCAGCACTATAAACCAGCTTACGTCTGGGCTAGTACAGGCAGCCGCACGTACACATATACACGCATGCACGTCGTCATATGAACGAAATATTCTCAAGCAAGACGTTAAATCCAATTTCACCTCACCTCACCTCACATCTCACTAAATGTTCACATAGGTATGATGTTATACTTGCTATGGTTCATTATATACTATCCCAAAAAAGAAACTCATAGGCATTTTGTGTTTACAAAAATCTATTAATTACCTGTTTTGTTCAAACAATCGTCAAAATATGTAACACAAGTGTTGATATCATGATTTTACACAATTGTACTAGTAAAAAATCGACTTGACCTGAAAATGTTGATTTTGATGAGATTTCTTACAAGGATTAAAAGAGGCATTGCCACAACGCAACAGAAATCACCTTCCAGTTGAAATTGTGCAGCAAAGAGCATGCACTGTCTGGCTATAAAAATCCAGATTACTTTCGGAAATCGGCATTCGTTTTGAAGGAGTTTCAAGCTGAAATCACTACGCCACGTCTTGACGCTGCGACACGGAACATCGCCATTGTAAGAATGCACGGCTGGAGATTACCAATCTTCTGTTGCCAGGCGTCTGAATGTTAGTCTGAGTACGATATCTCGGCTTGCAGCTCGTTACAACCAAACAGGTATAACAAATGACCGTCCCAGTACAGGCAGACCTCGAGTGACCACTGTAGCCCAAGATCGGTGCACCCGAGTACTACATTTGCGTGCTCGTACTACCACTGGTGAGAGCACATCAGCCAGGGTGCCTGGGCTTCGGAGGATATCCGGTCAAACGGTACGGAACAGGTTGAGAGAGATTGGACTAAGAGTCAGGAGACCCGACGTCGCTCTCAACGTCTCCGTTGACTAAAATTATCCACTTTGTTGGATAGACATTTTCTTCTTCTAAACTGATGTAAAGATTCATGTACTAAAGTCTATTTGTGGACGAGTTATACATGTTTAAAAATACAACATTTTTGCAACAGATTTCTGGGATATGCGTTTCTTTTTTTGAATAGTATAGTTCTTGTTCAAATACAATGTCATGGTTTAAAACAGACTAATGTGAAAAATAATCTCCGACAGTATTTCGACGTAACACACAATATATTGGCGTTTGCTTTTGACATTCAAATCTGCCTGTAAAGATAAGGTGCACCAAACTGAGCCACACATCCTCTCTGATGAGATTCACTCCATGAATACTATTACAAGAGTATTTTGATTGACAGTCACGTTATAGATATACAAGGGGGCTTCACGCCCAAGCACACACTGAGTTGGATGACATACAGTCCGTGCAGTTAAAGGCTCTGTCGACAACATGGTGTTCCGACTTTGTCTGTGTGTAGCCTTGCTGTTTGTTTGTGGATATGCCAACAACTCCAGTGAATACTGCCGGGTTTTACTCAACTACGACAAATTTTCGACATCCTTGGACCAATTTCTGGCTTCATTGAATGAGACTGGTGGGGTCACGGACATGGGTGGTGGTGAGTATGTAGCAGCCGTTACTTAGTCACCCAACACACAACCTTCATACGTTGTTAGTATTGTTTCCTAGTTTGCGTTCCAGCTTGTCAACCATTGCTTTGTCCAGACCTGTTTTACAAATTGTATACTTTTTGCAATAAGACTTAAAGACCCAGCATTATTTTAAAATGGTGCACCCATCAAAGTTGTCAAGGATGCCAAGTTCTTGGCACTTATTTTTGACTCTGATTTGACTTTTTTACCACACATTAAATACCTAAAAAGTAAATGCCCGAAGGCACCTGACTCGTTGAAAGTCGTTTCCAACTGTAAGTGGGACGGAATCAAGCTACCCTCCTACGTGGGTCGATCAAAAAAGTACGTAGACTAACTGTATTCTCGATGTCCAATGTTTTAAAAGCTTCCCTTTTATTTTGAAGGAATCTTTAGCAAAGCCATATCCAAAAGTTCACATGTGCGGGTAATGTGGTTAACGAGATATTACTCATCACATTGGGGTATAATATTTCTAACAAAACTGCAGAAAATGAAAAACGATCTGTCATTTGGTACCTCTTGGATAATGGTATGCCCTCAGCGTATATCATATAAAATAAGTTCAGTATAGTATCGGTTGTCGTCCCGTCATAATCAACAGTCAAAGATTTGGATTGCTTAATTTATATTAGACGAGGGCTGTTTTTTAAGGACACCCCCATTTCAATCTTCCTAAAAAATTGTGTTCAGATATTCAAGCTTGTACTGTTTACAATATATTGTGAGCTGACACTTGTGTGACCATTCAGTGTTTAGTTTGAACCCTTGCAATCATGTATGAATACTAGTAAGTGAAAACATTAGAAAAAGTTATATCCTTATGATTACGTCATCTGAGAGGGGGATGGGTAGTGTCTCCAAAACAAGCTCTTTCAGTCAACATGAAGGGGGGAGTCACTTTAACAAGCGTTTGTAACTTCAAATTGCCTTTTTATGAACTTTAATATCTAAGTGTGATTCTAGGGGACTTCTGTCAATCTCAAACATACAAAATATTTCTTGCATATTTTGTTTCCTGAAGTTTTTGATGCATTTATTGTAGATTTTGCGTTTTTTGAGGGTACTAAGATATAAGGTCAAACAAAATTGGGATCGTGAGACTGGAACATAGCAAAATCAAATTGCTTGAGCTTGACAGATAAAACGTAGAAAAATAAAACATAAAAATAGCTGCATTTGTATCGTTTTCTTGGTGACTCTACATACTTTTTTGATCGCCCCTCGTACACTTATATAGATCATTGGTCCGCGCGAAACTTGATTATGGCTCCATCGTACATGGTGGAACCTGCAAAAGCAACCTGAAACTGTTAGATTCTGTCGACCACCAAGGTCTAAGACTTTGTCTTAGGTCCTTCACAACATGTCCTGTGGACAGTCTCTACGTCGAGGCAGATGAGCCATCTCTTACACAACGCCGTATAAAATTATGTTTACAAATATATTACAAAACTATATTCCAACGATTCTAACCCAGCATTTATCTGTGTCTTCATTCCCTTCTATGATGATTTATACAACATGAAAACTTCTCTTGTTCCGCCTCTTGAGCTCAAAATTATACCATTCATGTCCGCTGCCGGCATTGAGCTGGAAAATATATCACCTTCCCGTTTCTTTCTTCTCCTTGGCAATTATTGAGGCCACAAGTTGACTTAACACTGACCAAGTTTAAAAATTCCGAAACTAATGAATTACAATATAGACGAGATTTTAACCAATTCAAAAGTAAATATAATACAGACAAATCCTCAGCTACACATGGGTCCAAGGACGGTGGCGCAGTTTCCTGTGCCGCTGTCACTGGATCCAGAACGATATCTTCTAGCCAACGCTATATTAACGGTTCTTAAACATATTAAAAACACCCTAAACATAAACAATATATCATCCATTCAGAATCGCTCTCGTGCCCTCAGGCTGTTAAAGGTCTATCTTGTAAACATCTGCTTTTAATGGATGTTATTGAATTATATAATGATCTTGCTATCGGCCAATGCGACATCGTCCTCTGTTGGTTACCCAGCCACGTTGGCATTTCTGGGAACACAATGGCCGATTTTGCTGTTAAAGCAGCACTCAACAAATCTGTGAAACCACTTCTCCTGCCATACTCTGATCACAAAGCTATGATTAGGTCGGACATCAGTGATGTGATGCAGCAGAAGTGGGTCACCCAAGAAGGTATCAAGAAACTACATGAAATTAAACCAACCATTGGTTACACCTACTTGGCTTGTCAGTCCAGATTTGAAGAAGTCATTATGCAATGATATCAATGTCGCATTGGACCATACAAGATATACTCATGATTATTTGTTAAAAGGTGAAGATCCTCCGTTCTGTGTCCCTTGTGATGAAAGAATTACGGTCATCACAAGGGATAGATATTTCAATGTCAAAACAATTATTATAATGTTAATGATCAATTAATAAATATTTTAAAGCTATAGAATTGCTAGATAAAGTTTGGACTATATGTTTTGTAAATAGATAAATGGTATTTTCTAAGTGGTAGTTTAAGTTAGCAACTGCGATTGTTATCCTCAAGGGAGGTTGAGTGAGTGAGTGAGTATGGTTTTACGCCGCTTTCAGCAATATTCCAGCAATATCACGGCGGGGGACACCAGATATGGGCTTCACACATTGTGCCCATGTGGGGATTCGAACCCGGGACTTCGGCGTGACGAGCGGACGCTTTAACCACCAGGCTAGCCGACCGCCCCCAAAGGAAGGTTGAAGTACCGTAAATGTATTGTTCTCCTGAGAGGATACGTAAGTCCCAAACCTTTCGAAGTAAATTCAGTTTAATTTGCGCCAGCAGCTGAAGGGATGGTGTAAATCCAGCTAGAGTCCATGCAGGTAGCAATGTATTGTAAGTCCCCATGGTCCCTAGTATGGTGTCCTACCTTCAGTTGTTGGTGATCTACAGCCTGTTTTAATATTGTATCGTGATGTATTGTTAAAATATTTTAGATCAAATTACTAGTTTTAAATTAATATCTGCGATAATCTAGTTGTTTTGCTGTTCTTCGTTGACAGGTTTTTAAAATTTACTTCCAATTACTATATATACTCGGCACATAAAGAAACTGTGCATACAAAAATTTAAAATCTAAATTTATCAAACCTATCTAGACACATAAGGATTTAAACTCAGAGATTAGTGACATGTATCCAACATGCATGCACGTGCCACGTTCCGTGACGTCAGTGGGTTCGTCCTTGAGACGTGCAATACGTTGTTGCACGTGCATTCCGGGAAAGAGAAACAGAGAAAATGAATGCCACACAATACTGTCACTTTGGAAAGCTTAACCCCTGCCCTTGCGATCGTTCAAAAAATTAAACGGTTATTGAAACGCATAGCATGCCAAGGCTCACGTCTGCACAACGTCATGAGGCCATTGGGATAGTCCGTGGGGGGAATGTCTCAACGACAAGTGGCTGCACATTTCCACTGCCACCGGGTCACCATTTCTGCACTGGTGAGACGCTACCAGAACACAAATGACGTCATCGATAGGCAGGGTTCTGGACGTCCACGTGTAACAACGCCAAGACAGGACATATGGATAAGGGTGACCCATCTTTGCCACAGGTTTCAGACTGCAGTGATGACTGCCCGAACCATCCCATGACTTCGCCGTATCCAGCCCAACACAGTTCGACAACGTTTACGTCATCACGGGATCAGACCACGTCGTCCTGCCATACGGGCTATCCTGACACAACGTCATCGACAAGCTCACCGAATGTAGTGCCGAAATCATGTCCGCAGACCCTTGTTTTGGTGGAAAAATGTTGTTTTTTACAGATGAGTCCAGGTTTAACATTTCCCATAGTGATGGACGTCAACGTGCCTATAGACGCGTCGAAGAACGTTATGCACAGGCCTGTGTCTTGGAGAGGAATCACTTTGGTGGTGGTTCCATGATGATTTGGGGTGGAATAACAGCACGCCAAAGAACTCCTTTGGTGACTGTTCTGGGCAGCTTAACTGGTGCGGGCTACAGGGATCAGTTTCTTCGACCTGTGGCAATTCCTTTTCTGCAACGTCATGGCCCTGGGTTAACATTCCAACAGGACAATGCCCGCCCTCATACGGCAAGGGTTGCTATGGATTTCTTGCAACACCACAACGTTGACTTACTGCCTTGGCCTGCAAATTCACCAGATCTCTCCCCGATAGAGCATGTTTGGGACCAGATGGATCGACGTCTACGCCGTCTTCCTCATCCGCCAGATAACGTCCTTGACCTTGCAACAGAACTTGAGAGAATCTGGCGAGACATCCCACAAGCCTTCAATGCACGTTTGATAGGCTCTATGCGTCGTCGATGCACTGCTGTTCTCAATGCCGATGGTGAACATACCGTTATTGAGCTTGTGACATGGTCGTTTGACCGCTTGTGGACTCGTGACGTCATTGTGATTGACTTTTCAATTGAAATTCTCCCGATTTGTTATGGTCTCACGATCCCTCCATTAAAGTTCATATGTACCTTTGACATTGTTATCATACTTATCAACTGGGATAATATTTTGACAATGCACAGTTTCTTTATGTGGATAGTATATATATATATATATATATATATATATATATATATATATATATATATATATAATATTGTTGGAGAAAAAGGCATTCTGTTTTTATTTATCTATGTAATATTTATCACTGAGCACCTGTGCTATTTGGGACATTTTGTGCGTATATATATATGTATATATATATATATATATATATATATTGTAGACTACATTCATAGACGACGTGTGAAAATAAAGTCAATCCACCTTTTTTGTTTTATTTCTGCATTCATTCTCAATCGGTTTACATCTTGTTCTGAATACATGTGGCACAGACTTGACAACTTGCGCGTTGGTTCAAACAACTACCTTCAAGACGCAAAGGAACGAGTGACTGCAACAGAATAGAATATATTGTTTACAACTGTTGGTTATCAAATAGACATTAAATACATGTATAATGTTGAGAAAAATAAAGTGTTTCCATACCATTTTGTATCACCTCTTCCTCCACACGTGTCCTTCCACATTCTACCCTGCATTCCACACTGCACGATAACCGCGTGCGTATGTGACACTACATTCAAAGCAAAACTGAATTAGAGTTACCTCCCATGAACTGAGTGGGAATTTAGATAAAGCGCTCATGAAATACGTAATCAATTTGGCCTTAACACACACACACACACACACACACACACACATATATATATACATATATTGTATACAATTTACCTGTGATCTCCTACACATATTTAAATGGCATTATCCGTCATGAGCTCTTATATATTTAATACACTTTCTTCTCATTTAGCTTGAGTACATATATAATAGATATGTACAAGGGCTCGGGTCTAACTGGAATCAATTCTAATCCTGAATCTCCAGGGGAAGTAATTGCAAATGACATTTTCAGAAAACAAAACAGCCTGCCTGGCAGCTGTGGACAGACGTGTTATTGACCTGGAGAACAAAGTCGGTGTGTAATCCTTTCTCAAATAGCTTTATGTTGCTCATTCCTACTGGTGTGAGGTCGTCACATTGGTGTAGTGGATAGAGTGGAAGCACTGTTGTTCAGGGCCTAGGTGCAGGTTCAGCGCTAAGATAGTCGAAAGTGCCATACATTAACATTACCTTACGACAATTTTAGCGCTAAGAGAGCTTCGAAAATCTAGCCTGGACGTTAACTCGGTGGAGTATTGGTATAGACCGGAACTGAAAAATAATGACTAGGTCTTGAATTTTACAATCATCCATAATTCTAATATTTCGTTCCTTTAAATGCAAAAAGTTTAGAACATGATCTCGAACGATGTCGTTCTGGTCTGCCATTAACAATGTTGAGTTTTGAACTCGCATTAGTTGTGATGCCACCCATAGAATCATGTTATTCGTTCATACTGTTCTACGGTCATGGGAATGGTATAGTGGATAGAACGGAAATCAGTGGTTCCGTCTCCTGGCCATTCACCCGAACGGATGTTAAGGTGGGTGGAATGGCATTATAACAAAACTGACTACGTACGGAATATTAGTCGGAGCCATTAGTCTTCTGTTACCTTCCAGGAATTGCACAAAGTTAGAACATAACATCGAATAATGAAGTTCTGGACTCTCAGTTTGACATTAACAATCTTTAGTTCTCGAATCAGTTGTGATGCCACCCCGTACCATTGCACTGTCACCCAGTAATTCTTGGCGTTAAGCAACAAACCATATTGTTATTTCCACCATATGATACAGTGTTTTAGGTGACCAATTGACTTGCTGTTGCATATGTCTGTAACGGGTGCCACCTTTTCCTATGTGTTAATACATGATATCATAGTGCTATCATATTTGATAGTAACCCATAAGTACATGCAAATGATATAATTGGAATCGAAAACTTTTTTCCAGTAAGCAGATATTTCCAAAGATGAAATAATGTATGTTTTCGTATATTTATCAACATCGATAGTCCGTATATGCCGCCGGAAGGGCAGGACACAATCTTGTGGGAATACATGATATCATAGTGTTCTCATATTTGATAGTGACTCACAATGACATGCAAATAATATAGTCAGAATCGAAAAATGGTATCTACTGTTAGCAAATATTTCCAAAGGTGAAAGTATATTGAACAAAATCAAGATTCCGCATGTGTAAAGTGATCGTTTTTGTTACAGAGAAGCTGTTAAATGACAACAAAAACAAAGTGGCTCGTATCAGTTACCTGGAGAGAACCCTAGGTAATGCTTATTTAAATCAAGTAAAACAGACTTTTTTATGCCTCTGGAATACTTAATTCCTGCGGGGTAGGGATGAGGGTCGGGGGTCTGGGTGCATGGAGGCACGGGAGATGCAGGGGAGCATGGTCGTGTAAACTGAACTGGAATAAATATACATCGTGACTGGAGTAATGCTTGGGAACACCCGGAATACATATTACCTGTGTTCCAATAATCCTGATTTTTGTCTTATGACACACAAGGTAGCAAAACTAATTTTGTTCGTAGTTTTTATCACAGAGCACTTGTGCTATTTGGGACATTTTGTGCGGATATATATATATATTGTAGACTACATTCATAGACGACGTGTGAAAATTAAGTCAATCCATCTTTTTTGTTTTATTACTGCATTCATTCTCAATCGGTTTACATCTTGTTCTGAATACATGTGGCACAGACTTGGCAACTTGACGCAAGACGCAAAGGAACGAGTGACTGCAACAGAATAGAATATATTGTTTACAACTGTTGGTTATCAAATAGACATTAAATACATGTATAATGTTGAGAAAAATAAAGTGTTTCCATACCATTTTGTATCACCTCTCCCTCCACACGTGTCCTTCCACATTCTACCCTGCATTCCACACTGCACGATAACCGCGTGCGTATGTGACACTACATTCAAAGCAAAACTGAATTAGAGTTAGTTACCTCCCATGAACTGAGTGGGAATTTACATAAAGCGCTCATGAAATACGTAATCAATTTGGCCTTAACACACACACACACACACACACACACACACACACACACACACACACACACACACACACACACACACACACACACACACACACACACACACACACACACACACACACACACACACACACACACACACACACACACACACACACACACACACACACACACACACATATATTGTATACAATTTACCTGTGATCTCCTACACATATTTAAATGGCGTTATCCGTCGTGAGCTCTTATATATTTAATACACCTTCTTTTCATTTAGCTTGAGTACATGTATAATAGATATGTACAAGGGCTCGGGTTTCATCTTACTGGAATCAATTCTAATCCTGAATCTCCAGGGGAAGTAATTGCAAATGACATTTTCAGAAAACAAAACAGCCGACCTGGCAGCTATGGACAGACGTGTTATTGACATGGAGAACAACGTCGGTATGTAATCCTTTCTCAAATAGCTTTATGTTGCTCATTCCTACTGGTGTGAGGTCGTCACATTGGTGTAGTGGATAGAGTGGAAGCACTGTTGTTCAGGGCCTAGGTGCAGGTTCAGCACTAAGATAGTCGAAAGTGCCATACATTAACATTACCTTACGACAATCTTAGCGCTAAGAGAGCTTCGAAAATCTAGCCTGGACGTTAACTCGGTGGGGTATCGGTATAGACCGGAACTGAAAAATAATGACTAGGTCTTGAATTTTACAATCATCCATAATTCTAATATTTCGTTCCTTTAAATGCAAAAAGTTTAGAACATGATCTCGAACGATGTCGTTCTGGTCTGCCATTAACAATGTTGAGTTTTGAACTCGCATTAGTTGTGATGCCACCCATAGCATCATGTTATTCGTTCATACTGTTCTACGGTCATGGGAATGGTATAGTGGATAGAATGGAAATTGGTGGTTCCGTCTCCTGGCCATTTCATCCGAATGGACGTTAAGGTGGGTGGAATGGCATTATAACAAAACTGACTACGTACGGAATATTAGTCGGAGCCATTAGTCTTCTGTTACCTTCCAGGAATTGCACAAAGTTAGAACATAACATCGAATAATGAAGTTCTGGACTCTCAGTTTGACATTAACAATCTTGAGTTGTGTTCCCGAATCAGTTGTGATGCCACCCCGTACCATTGCACTGTCACCCAGTAATTCTTGGCGTTAAGCAACAAACCATATTGTTATTTCCACCATATGATACAGTGTTTTAGGTGACCAATTGACTTGCTGTTGCATATGTCTGTAACGGGTGCCACCTTTTCCTATGTGTTAATACATGATATAATAGTGCTATCATATTTGATAGTAACCCATAAGTACATGCAAATGATATAATTGGAATCGAAAACTTTTTTCCAGTAAGCAGATATTTCCAAAGATGAAATAATATATGTTTTCGTATATTTATCAACATCGATAGTCCATATATGCCGCCGGAAGGGCAGGACACAATCTTGTGGGAATACATGATATCATAGTGTTCTCATATTTGATAGTGACTCACAATGACATGCAAATAATATAGTCAGAATCGAAATATGGTATCTACTGTTAGCAAATATTTCCAAAGGTGAAAGTATATTGAACAAAATCAAGATTCCGCATGTGTAAAGTGATCGTTTTGTTACAGAGAAGCTGTTAAATGACAACAACAACAAAGTGGCTCGTATCAGTTACCTGGAGAGAACCCTAGGTAATGCTTATTTAAATCAAGTAAAACAGACTTTTGCCTCTGGAATACTTAAATCCTGCGGGGTAGGGATGAGGGTCGTGTGGGGTCTGGGGTGGGGGATGGGGGTTGGGGTGGGGTGGGGTGGTGGATGGAGGCACGGGAGATACAGGGAGCACGTGTAAACTGAACTGGAATAAATATACATCGTGACTGGAGTAATGCTTGGGAACACCCGTAATACATATTACCTGTGTTCCAATAATCCTGATTTTTGTCTTATGACACACAAGGTAGCACAAACTAATTTGTTCGTAGTTTGTTAAACGTATATATATATATCATATAACACACACACACACACACACACACACACACACACACACACACACATATATATTGTATACAATTTACCTGTGATCTCCTACACATATTTAAATGGCGTTATCCGTCGTGAGCTCTTATATATCTAATACACCTTCTTTTCATTTAGCTTGAGTACATGTATAATAGATATGTACAAGGGCTCGGGTTTCATCTTACTGGAATCAATTCTAATCCTGAATCTCCAGGGGAAGTAATTGCAAATGACATTTTCAGAAAACAAAACAGCCGACCTGGCAGCTATGGACAGACGTGTTATTGACATGGAGAACAACGTCGGTATGTAATCCTTTCTCAAATAGCTTTATGTTGCTCATTCCTACTGGTGTGAGGTCGTCACATTGGTGTAGTGGATAGAGTGGAAGCACTGTTGTTCAGGGCCTAGGTGCAGGTTCAGCACTAAGATAGTCGAAAGTGCCATACATTAACATTACCTTACGACAATCTTAGCGCTAAGAGAGCTTCGAAAATCTAGCCTGGACGTTAACTCGGTGGGGTATCGGTATAGACCGGAACTGAAAAATAATGACTAGGTCTTGAATTTTACAATCATCCATAATTCTAATATTTCGTTCCTTTAAATGCAAAAAGTTTAGAACATGATCTCGAACGATGTCGTTCTGGTCTGCCATTAACAATGTTGAGTTTTGAACTCGCATTAGTTGTGATGCCACCCATAGCATCATGTTATTCGTTCATACTGTTCTACGGTCATGGGAATGGTATAGTGGATAGAATGGAAATTGGTGGTTCCGTCTCCTGGCCATTTCATCCGAATGGACGTTAAGGTGGGTGGAATGGCATTATAACAAAACTGACTACGTACGGAATATTAGTCGGAGCCATTAGTCTTCTGTTACCTTCCAGGAATTGCACAAAGTTAGAACATAACATCGAATAATGAAGTTCTGGACTCTCAGTTTGACATTAACAATCTTGAGTTGTGTTCCCGAATCAGTTGTGATGCCACCCCGTACCATTGCACTGTCACCCAGTAATTCTTGGCGTTAAGCAACAAACCATATTGTTATTTCCACCATATGATACAGTGTTTTAGGTGACCAATTGACTTGCTGTTGCATATGTCTGTAACGGGTGCCACCTTTTCCTATGTGTTAATACATGATATAATAGTGCTATCATATTTGATAGTAACCCATAAGTACATGCAAATGATATAATTGGAATCGAAAACTTTTTTCCAGTAAGCAGATATTTCCAAAGATGAAATAATATATGTTTTCGTATATTTATCAACATCGATAGTCCATATATGCCGCCGGAAGGGCAGGACACAATCTTGTGGGAATACATGATATCATAGTGTTCTCATATTTGATAGTGACTCACAATGACATGCAAATAATATAGTCAGAATCGAAATATGGTATCTACTGTTAGCAAATATTTCCAAAGGTGAAAGTATATTGAACAAAATCAAGATTCCGCATGTGTAAAGTGATCGTTTTGTTACAGAGAAGCTGTTAAATGACAACAACAACAAAGTGGCTCGTATCAGTTACCTGGAGAGAACCCTAGGTAATGCTTATTTAAATCAAGTAAAACAGACTTTTGCCTCTGGAATACTTAAATCCTGCGGGGTAGGGATGAGGGTCGTGTGGGGTCTGGGGTGGGGGATGGGGGTTGGGGTGGGGTGGGGTGGTGGATGGAGGCACGGGAGATACAGGGAGCACGTGTAAACTGAACTGGAATAAATATACATCGTGACTGGAGTAATGCTTGGGAACACCCGTAATACATATTACCTGTGTTCCAATAATCCTGATTTTTGTCTTATGACACACAAGGTAGCACAAACTAATTTGTTCGTAGTTTGTTAAACGTATATATATATATCATATAACACACACACACACACACACACACACACACACACACACACACACACACACACATATATATTGTATACAATTTACCTGTGATCTCCTACACATATTTAAATGGCGTTATCCGTCGTGAGCTCTTATATATCTAATACACCTTCTTTTCATTTAGCTTGAGTACATGTATAATAGATATGTACAAGGGCTCGGGTTTCATCTTACTGGAATCAATTCTAATCCTGAATCTCCAGGGGAAGTAATTGCAAATGACATTTTCAGAAAACAAAACAGCCGACCTGGCAGCTATGGACAGACGTGTTATTGACATGGAGAACAACGTCGGTATGTAATCCTTTCTCAAATAGCTTTATGTTGCTCATTCCTACTGGTGTGAGGTCGTCACATTGGTGTAGTGGATAGAGTGGAAGCACTGTTGTTCAGGGCCTAGGTGCAGGTTCAGCACTAAGATAGTCGAAAGTGCCATACATTAACATTACCTTACGACAATCTTAGCGCTAAGAGAGCTTCGAAAATCTAGCCTGGACGTTAACTCGGTGGGGTATCGGTATAGACCGAACTGAAAAATAATGACTAGGTCTTGAATTTTACAATCATCCATAATTCTAATATTTCGTTCCTTTAAATGCAAAAAGAGTTTAGAACATGATCTCGAACGATGTCGTTCTGGTCTGCCATTAACAATGTTGAGTTTTGAACTCGCATTAGTTGTGATGCCACCCATAGCATCATGTTATTCGTTCATACTGTTCTACGGTCATGGGAATGGTATAGTGGATAGAATGGAAATTGGTGGTTCCGTCTCCTGGCCATTTCATCCGAATGGACGTTAAGGTGGGTGGAATGGCATTATAACAAAACTGACTACGTACGGAATATTAGTCGGAGCCATTAGTCTTCTGTTACCTTCCAGGAATTGCACAAAGTTAGAACATAACATCGAATAATGAAGTTCTGGACTCTCAGTTTGACATTAACAATCTTGAGTTGTGTTCCCGAATCAGTTGTGATGCCACCCCGTACCATTGCACTGTCACCCAGTAATTCTTGGCGTTAAGCAACAAACCATATTGTTATTTCCACCATATGATACAGTGTTTTAGGTGACCAATTGACTTGCTGTTGCATATGTCTGTAACGGGTGCCACCTTTTCCTATGTGTTAATACATGATATAATAGTGCTATCATATTTGATAGTAACCCATAAGTACATGCAAATGATATAATTGGAATCGAAAACTTTTTTCCAGTAAGCAGATATTTCCAAAGATGAAATAATATATGTTTTCGTATATTTATCAACATCGATAGTCCATATATGCCGCCGGAAGGGCAGGACACAATCTTGTGGGAATACATGATATCATAGTGTTCTCATATTTGATAGTGACTCACAATGACATGCAAATAATATAGTCAGAATCGAAATATGGTATCTACTGTTAGCAAATATTTCCAAAGGTGAAAGTATATTGAACAAAATCAAGATTCCGCATGTGTAAAGTGATCGTTTTTGTTACAGAGAAGCTGTTAAATGACAACAACAACAAAGTGGCTCGTATCAGTTACCTGGAGAGAACCCTAGGTAATGCTTATTTAAATCAAGTAAAACAGACTTTTTTGCCTCTGGAATACTTAAATCCTGCGGGGTAGGGATGAGGGTCGTGTGGGGTCTGGGGTGGGGATGGGGGTTGGGGTGGGGTGGGGTGGTGGATGGAGGCACGGAGATACAGGGAGCACGTGTAAACTGAACTGGAATAAATATACATCGTGACTGGAGTAATGCTTGGGAACACCCGTAATACATATTACCTGTGTTCCAATAATCCTGATTTTTGTCTTATGACACACAAGGTAGCACAAACTAATTTGTTCGTAGTTTGTTAAACGTATATATATATATCATATAACACACACACACACACACACACACACACACACACACACACACACACACACACACATATATATATTGTATACAATTTACCTGTGATCTCCTACACATATTTAAATGGCGTTATCCGTCGTGAGCTCTTATATATCTAATACACCTTCTTTTCATTTAGCTTGAGTACATGTATAATAGATATGTACAAGGGCTCGGGTTTCATCTTACTGGAATCAATTCTAATCCTGAATCTCCAGGGGAAGTAATTGCAAATGACATTTTCAGAAAACAAAACAGCCGACCTGGCAGCTATGGACAGACGTGTTATTGACATGGAGAACAACGTCGGTATGTAATCCTTTCTCAAATAGCTTTATGTTGCTCATTCCTACTGGTGTGAGGTCGTCACATTGGTGTAGTGGATAGAGTGGAAGCACTGTTGTTCAGGGCCTAGGTGCAGGTTCAGCACTAAGATAGTCGAAAGTGCCATACATTAACATTACCTTACGACAATCTTAGCTAAAGAGAGCTTCGAAAATCTAGCCTGGACGTTAACTCGGTGGGTATCGGTATAGACCGAACTGAAAAATAATGACTAGGTCTTGAATTTTACAATCATCCATAATTCTAATATTTCGTTCCTTTAAATGCAAAAAGTTTAGAACATGATCTCGAACGATGTCGTTCTGGTCTGCCATTAACAATGTTGAGTTTTGAACTCGCATTAGTTGTGATGCCACCCATAGCATCATGTTATTCGTTCATACTGTTCTACGGTCATGGGAATGGTATAGTGGATAGAATGGAAATTGGTGGTTCCGTCTCCTGGCCATTTCATCCGAATGGACGTTAAGGTGGGTGGAATGGCATTATAACAAAACTGACTACGTACGGAATATTAGTCGGAGCCATTAGTCTTCTGTTACCTTCCAGGAATTGCACAAAGTTAGAACATAACATCGAATAATGAAGTTCTGGACTCTCAGTTTGACATTAACAATCTTGAGTTGTGTTCCCGAATCAGTTGTGATGCCACCCCGTACCATTGCACTGTCACCCAGTAATTCTTGGCGTTAAGCAACAAACCATATTGTTATTTCCACCATATGATACAGTGTTTTAGGTGACCAATTGACTTGCTGTTGCATATGTCTGTAACGGGTGCCACCTTTTCCTATGTGTTAATACATGATATCATAGTGCTATCATATTTGATAGTAACCCATAAGTACATGCAAATGATATAATTGGAATCGAAAACTTTTTTCCAGTAAGCAGATATTTCCAAAGATGAAATAATATATGTTTTCGTATATTTATCAACATCGATAGTCCATATATGCCGCCGGAAGGGCAGGACACAATCTTGTGGGAATACATGATATCATAGTGTTCTCATATTTGATAGTGACTCACAATGACATGCAAATAATATAGTCAGAATCGAAATATGGTATCTACTGTTAGCAAATATTTCCAAAGGTGAAAGTATATTGAACAAAATCAAGATTCCGCATGTGTAAAGTGATCGTTTTTGTTACAGAGAAGCTGTTAAATGACAACAACAACAAAGTGGCTCGTATCAGTTACCTGGAGAGAACCCTAGGTAATGCTTATTTAAATCAAGTAAAACAGACTTTTTTGCCTCTGGAATACTTAAATCCTGCGGGGTAGGGATGAGGGTCGTGTGGGGTCTGGGGTGGGGGATGGGGGTTGGGGTGGGGTGGTGGATGGAGGCACGGGAGATACAGGGAGCACGTGTAAACTGAACTGGAATAAATATACATCGTGACTGGAGTTATGCTTGGGAACACCCGTAATACATATTACCTGTGTTCCAATAATCCTGATTTTTGTCTTATGACACACAAGGTAGCACAAACTAATTTGTTCGTAGTTTGTTAGACGTACCTACATTAGTAAACTCTACTGAAGAAAACAACAATGTCTAGGTGTCTAAAAGGCGCCTATGACTGAGTAGGGGGTGCACACACGGGTAAACACAGTACGAACACGAACTCATCATTTTGATTATCGGAAAAGATCCTCGTTGTAATGTGTCTAAGTATATTAACTTTACAGCCAACCTGACGTCGGAGCGGAGTGCAGATTGTGGTCCTCCGCCTCAACAACATAACACAGACGTCTACATTTCATCGGGTTTTCAAACCATTGCCACCTACACATGCAAGACGGGTTTCATGACCGTCTATCTTGGTCAACAAGCAACGGGCTTGTGTCAAAAAGACGGGAACTGGTCGAAGGTCAACTTGAAGTGTTTCAACCGTAAGGATGCAACTTATTTCAATGTCAAAATGAACACTGCTTTAATTAATTATGCAATAAGAAGAATGAGCTATTCATTCCCCTAGACGCATCGATTTGCCTTGCTCAGTGATGATCGGTATGACTCTATTTATCACCTATTTCATGTTTGCCTTGACAGTCTCTAGCTGCTGGTCGGCACCTAATGGAAAAGCGTTGTACGCCGGAACCGTATCAAACACCAAAACTGGCAAGGTCTGTCAGCGATGGGATTCTGATGACCCAAACGGTCACAACCATGATGAAGACGCTGAGTTCTCCATCCCAGGATTTGTCCCTCAACAATCTGTCACAGGATCCGCTAACTACTGCCGTGACCCAGATGCCGGAGGGTATTTATGGTGTTACACAACGGATCCAGATGACCGCTGGGGAAGGTGTGATGTCCCTGAGTGTTAGATCCAGGACTGACAGGCTTACAAGTACGAAACTGGCCCAGCTGGCTTCTGTCCTCGTCCTCTCTCCCACTATTAACAGTGTTGTCTTTACTATGAGATGTGTCTATGTTGTGGGTTGGGAGGAATTCGTGATTTTGCAACATTAAAATCGGTCATTGTGAAACAATAATAGACCGGATGTTCTGGACCCCAAACTGTCACGGGATCTGCTAACTACTGCCGTGACCCAGATGGTACAGGGTTCTTATGGCGTTTCACAACGGATGGTGATACACGCTGGGAAAAATGTAATTGCCGTTTATTTTCTGATAATTCATATAAAACCCCTGAAACAATTAAAACATTCTTTAGAGAAAACATAAATATATACTGATAGATAATGTCAGTCATTAATATCATCTTTAAATATAACCATTTACAAAATATTATTATTGCTATATATATTGCATCAACACTTCATTGATGACATATTCCATATATACTTTAATTCATACATAGATATGCATATACATATCATATAGGGAAACAGATTAGTATGATGCATTTCTTATCATGTAGACATTACACAATGCATAACATTTAATAAACCTACCAAGTGTGTGGACCTGGGTACAATCAGTACACACCGGCAGCTGCACGGGCAATACAGATACGTCTCCATAAATAGATAAACATCTATGCAAACTGTGCACACTAATCAAACGACAGCAATAACAATACAAACAATTACGTTTAGTTATTGTTGAGTAATGAGAAACATTTACAATATACATAATGGTAAAACCGGCTTCATTCCTACATTCACACAATATGCATTGATACATTTACAGATACATTCATGCGTTTACACATTACACAGTCATACATTTACACATTACACATCCATACATCAGCTGTATATTACTTAAAGATTAAGTTTAACACTGATAATGCATTACATTCTGCAACACAACTAGTGAACATAAACTTCTAAATACTTACAATATGATTATCAAATAATAATAATTGCCAAAGCATAAACACAATACATGTACACATCAAATGAATATGTACATTCTACAAAAGTATTGAAAGAGACCAACCTTCAAAAATGATCTCAAGAGCTCCAATATAATGTCCAAATAATCCAGCATGTACGAGATTCACTATCCACAAACGCCTGTTGTGACCAGTTGACAGTAGAAATGTTGTGAGCTGTTGCACTTGGTCGGGTAATTGTGTGGCAGTGATCTAGGTCATTGTGGCTGAGGCAGAAAACTCATGCAGTAAGCTGAGAGAGGGGCTATGAGAAGCTGAAGAGTGAAGTGTATAATGTTTAAAATGCACTAAACAGAATATATTTTAAGTCAGTATAAACTAAAGAATAAAAATACGAAATATGTGCTAACATTTCAAGCTGTGATATAACTGAAAAAGTGTTGAAAGTGATGTTTAAACCGTCCCTGTGGTTCTTTACTGATAATGCTTAATATATACTCTATAGATAAGATAAGTTAATACCTTATTATCCCATGGGAAGTTTGGGTGATAGCACGTCCTCTTTCCCCTATGACATGGATCGTTGCTCGCAGTATCAATCACTGGATTGTCTAGTTCAGCTCAATTGTTCACCATAAACAGATTTATGCATGCAAATTGAGAGTTATGATGTGACATATACTGTGATGGAGAGAGTGTTAATCAGTCTTTGTAAGATGAACAGTAATGAATAAACAATATCATTGTATACTATTCAAAGACATAAGCTGTTAAAATCTTTAGAAAATATTAAAAATAGAATGATTGGCATTAATCTTACCTTACATGGCAATGCAGGTCTCCCAATTACTTAAAATCAGAATGTTTTCAAATATGTACATACCTCTTTCTCAAAGAAAACGTTTTCTCCGTTAATTTCTGTTGTAAATATCCTTGCCTATGTCTGTCACTTGTATACATTGATATTATTGTAAGACTAGTTGTGTAATTATTGGGAGAGGGCCTTTTCCAAGTTGGATAACTTGTGCCCAGTCCTTTTCTTGAATGAATAAAATATGTTTCAATCAATAAACACAATCAAACTCTCATTGACAAGCCTGTTTTTTTCTATTCGATAGCAATTGATAGTAAATCAATGTTGACTGACTGACTGACTCAGTTTGGTTTTACGCCGCTTTTAGCAATAATCCAGCAACATCACGGCGGGGAACACCAGAAATGGGCTTCACACATTGTACCCATGTGGGGATTCAAACCCGGGTCCTCGGCGTGACGAGCCAACGCTTTAACCACTAGGCTACCCCACCGCCCCAAACAATTTTGAGAAAAGAAGACGGATTATCATTTAATCACAACGAAGTTCTATTTACACACAATCAAACTTTTCAGTAACAAACCTGTCTCAGGCTCACCCTACTCTACTCACAAGCCAGTGGACCGTTCCATTATACCCGTATGTGTTACCACAATAAACCTTCTAGTTCAATGTCTGTCAATGGACTGTCTGTCAAATGGGTGTCTGTCAATTGGGAGATAACAGAGTCAAGTAATGATAAGCCTAGTATGTTTCAGTAACCTAGTCATTCTGTGGCTAGTTCCAAAGAATTTCTGGAGGGTGGTAGGTGTCAATCTAATTACTGGCTGACACTTTTACTGCCGCTGAGAGAGTTAACAAGATTGGCAATTGTCTTGGATTTGACTTTGGATTTGTTTGCGTGACGCATTGTGGGGCGAGGCACCTAGACTTTCCCAGGTATCCGTGTGATCACTGTTTGTGACTAATTCCTGAGATGTTGAAAGCACACAATCTGGCAGATATCCATTACGATTGTGGAAATGAGTTTGTCGCTTTTGTTAACTGCTGAACATTAGAGGTAAATAGGGCTGCATTTCTAAGCGGCGATCGTATTCATTACAGTTTAGCATCATGAACAACAGGAAAAGCGACTTAAACATTCATATTCCAGACGGGACTATTGTCGCAATCCTATTCATTACAGTTCAGCATCATGAGCAACAAGAACAGCGACGTAAACATTACCCAAACTGCATGTCTCTACTGTCTGATGACTACCAGCGTTAAACATGTTAAATAGCAAAATGTTGAGAGGTAGGCCAAGGCTGCTATAAAGGTTTAAAATATGAAAGCTATTGCCTAGGTATGTTTCCTTCAAATCTTCAGCGCAAAGGTATCAATGGGGAGGCTGAAAACATCAGAATGTTTACCATGGATAGATAATTTCATTTGGAAAAGATCTACTGACGGGGAACAGCTAACATGCTTTGTACTCGCTGTGGCTACTATTTCGAGACACTATTAACAATCGTTGCTGGTTTAGTGGAGCGGCTAAGAGCAAGTTTTCATAAGAATTGTGCATTTGATGATAAAAGCACCAAAATTGGTCAACATATAAAAAACATGTCTGAAATATGTTCAGATATGGAGGCACCTCCAATTTTGTATCTTGTGCGCATGCGCAGTACATAAACTTTGACATACTGTTTTCTGCTTTGCCCCTTAAATCTTGAATATTGCCATTCATTACACACCTATAATTTTTATAAACAGTGAATTACAGGTTCATGAAAAGACAAGAAATAAATAATTTTAGAATAATACAAAACATTTCGAAACAATGAACACTCCCTCTTCCCAAAATGGCGGCTATCAGATAGCTTTTTGGGCTATTGAACTCTTGAAATGTGTGTATGCTTGGGATTTATCGGATTAAGACTGACTGAAAATGAACATAAGTGGCACAAGAAATGCAGCACAATTAAAACAAGAGTCATCAGAAGATGACAAATCCCCCAGGCCCCTATGCATTTGAAAGCACAAATCATCTGACAGTTACTTATAAAAGTCCAACTTGATATTTTTGGATTCATCGTTTCCAAGGAAATCATGTAAAATATTAATGCCCTGAATCTGCATACAGCAAAAGGCACTACTTCAAGATCTATTTGATATATCAAGTCTTGTAGAAAGATATTGAACGGTTTCCGAGTTGTGATCCAGGAACGAAACCCAACCCCTCCCTTTTGAGACTAAGTCCTCCTTCACCTTACCACCAATTGGAGCAACTTTGTAAGTCATCAAGAACCAAAGCTACCCGATTGGAGGGTCTTCCCAGCTTTCTCAGCTTGATACTATTATAAGACGAGTCTCCCTGGGCCTCACCATGTCCAGATTCATCAACAAGGCAATGATATCACACTTCAAAGATCCACAGTCCGACAAAGAACGTATGCTTTTGTCCATCGTCAACCAGCAGAAGTACCAGGAGTCTCTCTCCGACCAGATCTGCTCAGCATGAGCGGGACTCACATGGAAGTATTGGCCAAACGTGGACCTTCTAGAAGACCCATTCATCACAAAGATCCTAAGGAAAAGATATACCATTCCGGTGTATACGACGCCACTGCTGCCCTCTATCTTCTGCTCCCCAATTTTCTTGGTTCAAAAGAACAATTTATCAGAAAGTCCAGACTAATCTGAAGGCATTCAACAATGATTATTTTTTGAAGGCAGAGAAGTTCAGAATTCTCCACCTATAGCTGACGCAGCTGGCAAGCATAGATTTAAGGGATTCATATTTGCATATGCCAATCCACCCTGGGTCCAGAAAGTATCTACAATTCCTGTTCAACCATAACAAATACCTGTGGAAGGTTCTACAGTTTGGCATTTTCATGGCCCGTTGTTATCCATACAGGTAACCAAGCCCATTATGACCTTCCTGCACAACAAAGTAATTAGATGCACCTTCTACCTACGCAACAGCATTAAAGCATTTCAAAAAGCCGTTACACTCAAACGTCAGTTGATTTTCACCCTACGATTGCTGCCCAACGTCAGCCAAAGCACTCACGAATAGGGGCAGCTACGACACAGAGGTTTCTAACCTCACTCCTGGACCATAAGGACTTCAGACCACAACTACCACATCACCTACTACAGTATCTCCAGTGGTGGGCGATGAAATCGAAGGTCTGCGCAGGGACCTGCTAAGCGAGCCGAGCTTCAACCTGCATATCTATGTCTCTACAGGGTTGGGGAGCACAGATGTAACCTCAGGCCTGTGGTCTCCAGAAGAGAAGCTACTTCACATCAATCACCGAGGTTAGGCAGTTATCCGAGCCATTAACCACTGGGCCCCTTGACTGTCCAATCAGTCATTGATGACAAGGACAGCCAACTTATCCAGTAAGGAGATTCCAGCAGGTATACAACCTCATAAACTCAAAGCATCTCAAGACTGGTTTCAATTTTAGCACCCATCAGCTATGTCATCACCATGATGAAGGCTCCAAACTCACTCAGAATGTCAGAGATCCATTCTACAGACCTTAACCTCGCCAAATTTGATAAAGGTCCCAATGCATAAGTGCATCTTGGTATCTGTTTGGATTTTATTGCCAAAAATCAGCCAGACCCACAGTTTCACATCCCACGAATATCTTCAATATTTGGCAATGAAGAAAAGAAAGACTTATCACTGCATCTGCCTAGAGTCGTACGCATCGATCTACGTAGAACGAGCACCAGACGTCTGAAGTTAAGACGACTCTTTATTCCGCTCCTGAGAGATTTCACAGCAGAAGTAGCCAAAACAACTATATCCTGGATGAGATCGGTGATACTTCCAACATACAGAGATGTAGGCTTAGAACCTCCCTCAGCTT